TCGGGCGAGAGCAGCACCCTGGCCGCCCAGCACTGCTGCTAGGACGAGGGCAGCCTGCTGCTGACCCGCGGCAAGGGCGCGGGCGCTCCCGACCTGGTCAGCACTGACTTCTACCCGGAGCTGCACTTCAAAGTGGACACGCTGCCCTGGATCCTGTGCAAGGGGGACTGGAGCCGCTACCACACTGTGCGGCCGCCCAACAATGGCCGGGCCTGCGCCGACAACCCCCCTGAGGAGGAGTACTTGGCCCAGTTACAGGAGGCCAAGGAGTACTAAGGAAGGTGCTGAGTTGGAGAACCGCACTCCCAAGTCCCTCTCCCCACCCTTGCCCAAGCTCAACTGTGGGAGGTTGTCTGGCACTGCAGGTCCCCTGCCTGTGACCTCCAGGCAGGCCAGGGCCCCTGGGTGTGTTGTGGGGGAGAAGGTTGATGGGTGTACAGGGCCCAGAGTCTGGGGGTGTGGTGGACATGTGTGTGCCCTCATGTTTCTTGGGGCATCCTCTCCTGACTACCAGGAAAAGCTGCCATAGCCTGGGCTCCTCTTCCCTGGCTCTGCACACAGGAGTGGCCACAGCATTCCAGATCCGTCCTGATTGCCAGGAGCTGCTGCAAATTCTCAGACCCTCATCCTGGCTGAGCAGGGGAATGAGGGGACAATAAGAAAGTCCACTCATGTCATCTGGCCCTACAGCCGCCCCTTGCTGGGCCTGTACCTTGGTGACCACACTTCCTTGAAGGATGGTGTAGATGCCCCTCTCATCCCGGTCCTCCTCCCTGCCAGGAACCACTGCAGGAGGGCGTCTTAGCTCCGAGTTGCCCTCTTCGGGAAGACACAGGTTAACCTGGTGCCTGAGTGGGCAGACAGAATGATGCACACTCCAGGCAGGGAATGGGTTCAGTGCCTTGTGTCCTATCCAGTGGGAGGGATTTGCAGGGTTTGGGGTGGGCTCCGGAAGGTTTCATGTGCCTGTGGTGATTGTAAATCAGCAATCCATTGGAGGGACTGATTTGCAGCATTTGGGTAGTTTCTGTTAGATTTACACCACTGTGGTGTCACCGAGCACACTGGCTCAGACTTGGGAGGAAAAAGCAGCTCTCTGAGCACATCCTGTTCCTCTCCCTGGCCTCCTCCCATCCCCCAAGACACACTTCCTTGCCTTTTAGAGGGCTGAGATGTTGAAGCCCCACCTGTCCCTGTTCATAAAAGCCTCCCAAAAAGGTAAGGGACTTCTAGACAGCTGTCCTGAAGCTCTCTGGGATCCTCAGAAATAAAGCACTTTATTTTCCAATTCTGTCTGATGAAGGACGGGTCTGCGTTTGTAATTGTCCAACCCTGGCCCCTTGTCCCGAACCAGTTAGGCAGACAGCCCCTGGGTTGCCGGGGTGAGCATATGACATTTGTAATGGGCCACCTTCAGGTCAGACAGGAGCTGGCTGGACCTCGGAGGCACATCCACACTTAACTTTGGTCACACAGGTAAACTGCATTTGCTCCACAGGGAAGTGGTCTCCCAGTAATTAGCTGTGAGGGGGGCCAAACAGCTGCCTGAAGGACTACACCTGGAAAATGAGAGGCACACCTGTATACTGCCTTCATTGGTACCCTTGCCAGATATGCATTCCACTGTCTCCCTTGACATGGGAGGAAGGACAGAGGGGGTCAGGAATCAGAGTGAAGGAAGGACACCCCCTGGAGAAGCTCAGAGAACCAGATGCTTCCCCTTCACATCATACCTGAAGGTAAGTTGTTCCTCTCATCCTGGGCGACTAGAGCAACTAGAATATTAAAGGATCAGAGAAGGCAGATCTCCATCACCAGATAAAAGCCAAATTCACACTCTTTCTGCTGTTGGGACTACAGTTTGGTGGCAGTGTTTGCCCTGCATATATATGGCCCTGGGTTTGATCTCTAGCACCGCACACACATAAGATTAGCACAGGCATGTTTCACTTTTTCCTCTTTCTTGAGACTGAGGCCTTGCTGTGTGGCCCACGCTGGCCTTGAATGCCTAGGTTCAAATGATCCTTTCACTTCAGTTTCCCAAGTAACCGGGACTACAGGTACACCCCACTGTATCTGGCTTGCTTAAGTCATTTTGGGGGGGCAGAAACTTACAAAAATAACAAGGTAGAGACATCCCAGACTCTGTATTTACAGAACTACAAATTCCCCTACTCTCTTTTAGAACTTACGTTGGCTTGTAAATACACTGTCTAAATCGAACTGATACCTAATGGTTGTCTTACCCAAACTGAATTTAAAATTATAAGCAACACACAAAACTGCTGCCATGTTAGGTCACAGATAAAAGAAACTAAAGAAAAATGGGCAGGAAAGCAGTCTTGCAGGGGCTGTGGAGTAAGTTAGCTTGGAAATAGTATTTATTCAAGCTATGCAAAGGAGAGAGGGAGTGGTACAGGTGGCTGCAGTTTACAGAACACCAATGTGGGAGGAGCAACGCCAAAGGAGGGGTCACTGACCCCAGGAAAGAGGGCTTAGAGGGGCCAGTATCAGAGTCAGGAGGCCCATGAAATCAGAGAGGGTCCCTCCCACTCCCTTTGGGTCAGTGCCTGTCACCTCACTGGCTTGAACAGCTGTTCCTTTTGTCCCCAACAGCAGGAGCTCATCCAGGGCCCAGCATCTAGAATGAAAACCATCACACCGGTGTTTCTACCTTAGCAAGATGGGTTTGCCTAGTCTTCCCCCTCTTGTTTGCCTTATCAAAGGCCATAGGTGAGGCAAGACCGGTCAAACTGAGTCTTCCGGGTTTGAAGCAACCGAAGGTACAAACCATGCCCGAGGTTAGCACCTGTCTCCAGAAAGTGAAAGCTTCAGAACTTCTGCCCCATTAGTCACAGTAAGGCCCTGGATGTGCTGCTTTGCCTCCTCCATTAGTTTGTTTTCTTTGCAGGTTGATGCATCACAAAATGTATCCCTGGTATAAGAATCACCTGAGTTAAGATGCAGGCTCATGGGCTACATGACACACCTACCGAGTAAGAATCTCTAGGAGTGGATCCACTTTTCTGCATTCAGCTGGTTCCCTGTGTGGTTCTCAGGTGTGGAGAACTGTTGGTCTAGCCAGTGTTTTGAAATGTCAGTTCTGGTTTAAGGAAAAACACTTGGGGTTGTGAGTTCACAAGTCAGCAAGCACCTTCTGCTACTGCCACCAGGCGCAGGGGCTCCCACGTATGTCACACGAAATGCTTCCACAAGGCACTCGCCACGTCCATTTGACAGGTAAGGAATCCGCCTGTCTGGTTAGGAAGCGGAATGGTTATCATTCAAACCAAGTCCGAGCTTTTATTTTTAGCAGCACCATTCCGCTTTTTTAGATTCAGATGGCCACCTGAAATGTTATCAGTTAAGAGGGTGCTGGAGATGAGAGCTGTCACGGAGAGCGTCTTCACACTTTCCTCAGAGTATTCTGTAACTGTTAACTTGCCAGTCAGGGTTCCAGGTTTTTGTTAATAATCTCTGTGTTGATCTGACTCAACCTATATGTAGTTTTAGACCTCTAGGAGGCGGATGTAATGCCCAATTAGGTGTCAATGAATTCAGTCCAGCACTCATCTGTTACATCAAGCCAAAGAGGGCTTTTAGGGGTCTAGATGACCCAGATCATAACTCTATGAAGATTTTCTAACTACATTTTGGCCAAGTCAAGTAGGATTAGCTTGCAGGTCTGCCACCTAATGAAACAGGCAAAACTAGATGAGGTAAATAGCTGCAGCTGAAGGAGGTAGTGGTCTGACTTAGAGGGCACTGACTCACACTGGGGTGCAAGAAGCCAGAGCAGGCTTGTCTGGGAAAGTGACTCTCCCTGTTCAGGTGTTTCTTCTTCCTGCCCTGTGGTAATCTGAGCTCTACTAGAATGTGTCTAACCGCAGCACTTGGCACAGAGCCAGTGCTCAATAATATTTAATGGTACTAGGAATTTAAAACTACTTTAAAGACATTTTTTCCTGGTGCTGGAGGCTGACTTCACACTAGTGATCCTCTTGCCTCATTCTCCTGAGTAGCTAGGATTACAGCACTGTGCCACCTACCATGCTGTCTTCTCCTTTTGGGGGGCTTGTAGAGTTTGAAGATCCGGAATTTTCTATCCAGGAAGGTTACCCAATGTACTAAAAAGGCAGTGTCTTTGCAGGTATGAGCCCAACATGGCAGCAGCAGTGTTTAAATTTGAGCCTGGACTATGTAGTAATGGTCCTTATCCCAAATCCCAATCCTGCTCAATCAGCTGTTGGATCTGTGCTGTTTATGAGCTTACCTACAGAATATGTATAAGGAAACCCAAGGTTTAAATTTTTGTGAAATAAATGACAGTACCTATATTTCACTAGGGCTTTATGGGGATTAAATAAGCCGGTGGGAGGAGAACTGTTTCCCATCCAGTGCACAAGTGCTCCAGTAAAGCTGCCACAGGTTTTCTGCGCTCTCTTTTACTTGTGCTGGTAAAAAGGCAGCTTTTTGTCAGTTTGCAGGATTAAGCTGGACTAGCTCAAGGATGCCCGGTAGTGAGAAGCAGGTTTCCTCAGTGCCTCTTCATTACCTACTCTCACCCAGAATAGAGCCCAGGCCTTCAAGCACCTGCCCCTCTTTAAAATTCAAAACCTCCAGGGGAACTCAATACCACCCACCCAATGAACACAGGTTTCAGATGTGTATGTTTTTAAAATTATGTTTATTTAGCATATGTACACAGAAAAAGAGAAATCACCCTCTGATCCCACCCAGCAGAAAACATGCACAAACCCAAGGTATATGTGGAGGGAGAGGCCCCGGCCCCAAGTTAGCAGTGGGGATGGTGCAATCCTGTGAGTCACTAGCCCCAGTCAGAAGTGTTGGGCTGGAGCCCCCAACTGCCAGCCCTAAAACAAGCGTGCGCCGTAGCCAAAAGTCTGTTTAATGCCCTCAAAGTAGTACCGCTGCCAGCCCTGCCGCGTCCGCTCTTCCTCAGGGGCGGGGATGCCTCGGCCTTCCATGCACAGCTCAGTTTCTCCATTCTTGTCAATGAAGGTCAACGTGATGGTGGCGAAGTGCCCTGTGTGGGGAAGGCGGAAGGGATTGTGGTTCAGATCCAGGGCTTCCATGTAGGTTTACAACTAGGCAGAAAGGCATGCTGGGGACAACGGTAATAAACAGACATGCTCACTTACCCTCTGGCCAAGATTTAAACCTCCACTTCATCACAATATGTTTCTCTGGAACCTAAAATAATCAAAGAGCTCAGCCTACATTGGACTGTAACATATCTAATACTAGCTAGTGCTGGCCATCTGTACTACTGCATTACTTGCAAGAGAATTCAAACTGTAGGACTTTTGAAAAATAAAACAAAACTTTTTTTTTTGTACTGGGGATCGAACTCAGAACCTTGAGCTTGCCAGGCAGGCGCAGTGCCTCTGAGCTAACTCCCTGGCCCAAAACAAAATGGTTTTATTAACCAAAGGAATTAGTCTTAAATTTTACCCTCTGAGCTGGAAAAAAAGGCACAGAAAAGAAGTCACTTGTCTGACCACCACAGGGAGGCTACAAACTGAGACTGGGGCCCCCAAGTACTCACCAGATCAGTAAATTCCCCAGAGACGTTGCCATCTACCATGTGAAACTTCCCACCTTTGTCGGCTTCTAACATCGCTGGAGCATGGGTAAAGGCCTGAACCAGCTGGGGATGGGGATGGGGAGAAGACGATGGATTTCAATGGGACACAGGGACAGCTGAAACCGGCCAGCTTTAACTCTCATTTCCAAAGATGCCATTCTGCCCAATATCAAGGTCTGGGCTTCCCTGTCTTTTGTTCCATTACAGACCAGGCTTTGCCTTTAGTAATTCTTTCTAAATCCATGATATCATTACATTGGGCCATTCATTTTTCTTTTTTGGTACCAGGGATCGAACTTGGGTCCTTGCGCTTGTGAGGAGGCAGGCAGTGGAACCACTGTGCTAAATCCCTGGCCTGGCCATTCATTTTTCTAAGGATTCAAGTCAGGCGTGCTGAGGTCTAGTTGTAATCACAGTACTCTGACAGGCCAATGCAGGAGGATCTAAAAAAAGTTACAGTCTAGCAGTTAACAACTTAGCTAGACCCTGTCTCAAGATAAAAAAGGCTAGAGTATAGTTCAATGTGAAGGCCCTCAGTTCAATCCCCAGGACCACCAAAACCCAAACTAAAATAAAACAAAACAAAAAACCCCACAATAACAACAAAACCCAAACCAAAAACAAAGGATTCAGTCAGTGGTTCCCATTTACATGACCCAA